GTGTTAACTCTAGCATTAAGATTCCACAGAGAAACCTGAGACCCGCAACTGCCCCTCATGGTGCTCAGTGCTTCATCCTTTTCACCTACTAGACTTAGCCATAAAGCCAGGGTCAGTAGCTGGGCCCCTAAGAAGGTGCTGGGCCCACTTTCATGCCACTCCCTCAATGCTGCTCCTTTATTATCTTAATGTAACAAGAGCTTGGTGAGAGCCTTAGAGGAGACAGTAAATATCGCCCCCTCCCCCGCCGGCCTTTAACCCTCTAAAGCATCCCTCTGGGAAATAAACCACAGCAAATGGATTCAAAGTACTCATTTTATTAATAAGCGTGTCTTGAAGGACATGGCTCGGATGCTCCCTAATACTTGGCCCCTAAGTTAAATGCACCCACCTGCTCACAGGAAGCACTCAACAAACACAGGCCTCTCCCCACACAAGGACAAAAGCCGCCTGTAGGAAAAGGGCAACCCAGAAGGCAGCTTCTCCATGGGCAGGCAAAGCCACGCTGGATTCCAGAAAACACTAACCCAAGCATGCTCCAAGATCCTGTTCCCAAATCCCTCTTCTGCTGGAGAGGAATGGCAATTCCATGATGGCTTATGTGACATGGGGAATGAGTTCTCCTCAACAGTGTTTATTTTTCTCCTTTCCCTTATCTTAGGGAGAAAAAAAAAAAAAAAAGGTATAAATTACATATAGTAAAACGCATAGGTTTTAAGTGGAGTTCAGTGAGTTTTGACAAATGTCTACACTCGTGTAACCACGATCACAAGCAAGACGTAGATTTCCATATTCCTTTATTAACAATCCCTCCACCCCGCCTTCTCCTTCAGGACCAAACAATGTCCTGATTTTCAGCACCGTCCATCAGTCTTGCCAGTTCTAAAGCTTCATATAAAGACATACTGTACGTACTCCATGTGTCTTGCTAAATGTGCTTTTGAGATTCATACAACATGCTGCATTTATAATAGTTCATCCTTACTTATTGCCGAGAGAGATTCTATTCTATTAACATACTACAACCTGCTTACCCATTTTCCTGCTGTTGAACATGCTTTTGATCTTTCATTATTATGAACAAATTGACAACAAACATCTTGTCCTTCTTGTGGACATACATTGAGGTCTACTAGCTCCACAGTTTCATCAATATCTGGTACTCTTGGTCTTCTTAACTTCGGCCATTCTACTGGATGGGAAATGGTAGCTTTTTGCGATTTTAATTTGCATCCCCTAGTGACTAATGCCTTTAAACAACTTCTCATGTTATCGGTCACTCGTGTACCTCTGTGATGATCTGTTCAAGTCTCTTGCCCATTTAGTAAATTGGGTTTTTCATCTCATTTTTGATTTGCATTTTTCTATTTTCTGGATATGAGTCCTTTGTCAGGACACACAGAGATTACTTTTTTCCTGGCAGTCCATGGCCTACCTGCTCTTTTTTTTTTTTTTTTTTTTTTGGGG